CCCCCCCCCCCCCTCAGTTTACTCTCGTGTCGGATTTGTTTTTTTAAAGAACCAAACGCGCTGCTGTGACATTCGGTGATAGGGTTTCTTATTTATTTGGTCACTGCTAAGCCTCGACAGCTGCTTGCCGATCTGGGGCTCACTCGGGTACCGCCTGAGCTCTGTCGCGCGGTCAGGGCCCCGCCCGATTCCCAAGGTCAGAGGCTGGGGGAGGCGGCAGCCCGGGGCCCCACGGGCTTGCCCTGTGGCTCTCCTGTCTAGTGGGCAGTGGGTGAGCTTGTGAGATGCTTGTCTGAATCCACGGCATCAGGAAATGGGAGGAACCTGGGGTGTCCCTTCCTGGTGCTCAGAGAAGCTTCGCCATGTTCAGCACCAGGAGACAGAGTCAGGGTCCCAAGGCAGTCAAAATAAAAGCATTTCATGAAACTCTTTTCTTTGTTTAAAAGAGCTGTTTTCTTGTACATTCGTGAGAACAGGTGTCTACACTTGCACCGAACTAAGTACAGGTGAGTTCCAAAGAGCAGAACGGACGTTCTCAGTAGCCGACGACTCGCCTGCCAGGGCACAAACCCTGGCACCGCCGCTAGGCCGGGGGCCGGTGCAGATGTGGCCGGGGCCGCCCAGCTGTGCACTCGCGCCTTACAGGGTGACACGTGTGCGCAGCCAGAATCGCCCGTGAAACTCCCATCAGTGATCGCATGGCATACACGTGACTCACAGTTTGGGAAGAGCCATCCCGTCGGCAGTAAGTTTGTGACACCGGGTCCGGTATTCAGTGACGCACAATGATCATTCCATAGTCACATAATCAGGGCTTCGGCCGTTTAGGGGTGCTGGAGGAGTGGCTCAGGTCCCCCATTAAACTTCGTGCCCCCTCAGACAGGGACGGGTGTCTGAGTCCCGCGGGTCTTTTGTTTCTTCCCTGACGTTGAGGACAAAGCCGGCACCCCTCTCCTCCCCAGTGTGCAGACGCCCGGGGAGCAGCGGGTCCACATCTTTGCAGAGGTCGGGAAACGTGGAGTCCTTCCTACATTCTTTCGGTGGTTCGGAAACCTTGCACTGACCGTCCAGGGTGCGGCTGCCTCCGTTTTCCGTGGATGTGGCTCCTGTCGCCATGGCAGGTGGCAGCTGTGTCCCTGCACCCTTGGCTCATCCTGCTTTGTCCGTGGGTCCTCCTGAAATCCCATGCATTGGAAAGTGCTCCCCAGGCCGCATCCCTCTGCGCTGGGTTTGCTCCTGGTTTTCTTCCGGGGGCAGTGAGGAGAGGTGAAAGTCAGCCCATCCCCCTCTCTGGCCCTGCAGTGTCGGGAGGCCACAAAGTGCATTCACGGTTTGACTTTGCCTCCCAGGCTCACCGCTGGCGGTCCAGAGAGGGGGGCACGCAGACGACGTCATATGATCCTTGCACTCGGACTGGGAGGTATAGGGACGGCCCTGCTGCCCAGAGGAGAAAACAGATTCAGTGAGGAGGTCGCACTGCATCCTGGCAGGGTTGTGCAGAGATCTGTCCCCTGGGCCACCACGCTGCCACTCGGCCCCCAGCAGAGTCCCCTGCTTGTTGCAGGGAGTGGTGATAGCTCGCGGGGATTACCTCAGACTGGGTATCGGACCCCAGTTCCCCTGCCCCCATCACGGACCCCTTTGTGACCGGCCACCCACACCCCTGTCCCCAGGCCTGTGCCCCGATCTGCAGAATGGAAAAGTCGGGGCTAGGTCAGACTTCGCAACGAAACCCTTTTTAAGCTTAAATGCTGTGCACAACTCCAATCTATCAAGTGAAGAATGTGTTATTTGTAAGTTCAGGTGCAATATACCCGGCAGGTGAGAGCCCACAGCCTGGTGGGAATCCCACTCCTGTGCCTCCCAGCTGTGGCCTTGGGCAAGTTCAGTGCCCAGGTCTGTGCCTTTAGACCCTCACCGCACGACTTGTAAGGCCCCTTCTAGCTTTTCTGAAACGTAAACTTTATGAAAATAACTGTGGGTTATTGACCTGCCTGCAGCCCTGCCCCCTGGGCACCCCGCCTCTAATTCCTCAGGGCTGCACGTCCAGGAAAGTTCAGCCGGTACCTAAAACATTCCTTATTTAACTTAACTAATGAGCCTTGAACGCACTTCTTGCCACCCACGAGCAAATATTTATTGCACCGTGATGTTGAGCAGATGCTGTAACTCCACAGCTGGAGTCAAACCCAGGTCCCGCCCCCAGGAAAGTCACGTAGAGCGGGTGTGAGTGGCCCTGATTGGGTCAGAAGGGCCCTCCTGCCACCAGACACGGGAAGCTGTGGGAGCCCAGGGAGGGAGGCACGTCCAGCCTGAGGTAGGATGGGGGCCAGAAGGCCTCCGGGAGCACGGGGTGGCAGGGGGGGGCGCCCCATTCTGACAGCCAGGGGAGGGACTGGGCTGGGGAGGTCAGAGGCCAATTCATCACTCAGGGCACCCACTGGAAGGCCTCAGGCGTGGCCCAGGATGCCAGGGGTCCCAGAAGATACAGCCTCAGGCCCAGAGGCCAGGTTGGGTTGTTACTACTTCCTACAAGCAGCTGGGAGGCCCTCTTGGCTCCGAAGCCGGGGCCCCAGTAAGACACGGAGAGGCCGTCCCCGGCCTCCCGTCCACCTGGCCGGCTCTGAGCTGTTTGGTTCGAGACGCCGCCTCGTTGGACTGCCTCCAAGGAGCCATAAACATCGGAACGCCCTTGGCCCGCCTGGTCCTGAGGCTTCCTGAGGTGCTTGCCGTCCTGCTTTTTCTGTTGATAAACAGGCCGCCGCCCGCCCGGCCCAGGACCGGGTGTGAGGCTCACGCAGGGGTTTGCTGAGCTCAGGCGGCCGGGGGGGCAAAGGGTCCCCCGAAACAGAGCTGGGCCGTGGCTCTGGCACCGTGTTCACGTGAAGTGATTCGGGCGACACCCACAGGTCCCGCGCAGCAACCCCCCCCCCCC